ATCCTCTGCCTCCAGTAATAGAAAACTTCCATCTCAGCAGAGGTATTCCCATTCACCTCTTCCATGTGTTTACACACCTCTAGTCACCTAGAGTGGTCCTATCACTCTTGCTGATTTTTTCCACCTGAAATAAACCCCAAAGAAGTCAATAATTCATGAACTATCATCCTGAGTGTTAGGGGATCAGAGGAAGATTGAATGGTATTTCTGCATTGTAAACACTTAAAATTTGTTCTTTCAGTCAAGAGCCTCCTTCTAATCCTGGCAAGATAAATTCAGGTTCAGACAACACTGGGACTACTCGCAAAATGATAGGAAGAAAGGCAATTCATCCCTTATCATATTCGACCAGAGTAAAAATGTATTGATCCAGCTGTGGGCCTCCTCCCAGAGCCCCCTTGGTTCTGCCCCCAGATTGCAGCAAGAGCTCCCCTGCATATCTGAGGCATTTCTTTGCCACATGTTTGCAACACTTGGTGGAGGGGAATCCATTGCATTGTTTAAAGACAAGAGGAAAAAAGTCTGTTGTTGGAAATGGATGTAGCAGAATGAGGAAGGTCACAAGGGCACGGCAGCCTGGGAATGAGCTGCTTCCACGGGCCTCCGGTCTGCTCCCTTTGTTTTGGGGTGAGAACTATTCAAGTGGCCAGCTCACATCCAGCTCTGCAGTGATGTCACATCCACACTGCTCAGCAGAAGAGATGCTTGGAGGATTACATCAGACAGCATTTGTTTATAGGGCTTTATCTTAGACACTTGCTTCTCCATCTTCCTGAAAAACATTTATGTAAATATTTATATTTTCAGGAACAGGATCACACTTCTGGACACCGATCAGCCCAGCCACTCCACTGCATGTCTGCCAGAGCTCCTCTGCATGCCTGGTGGGGACTGTGACTGAGATGAGCACACGTGGGAAGTGCTGCAGGCCCACACTGCTACCTGCATTTCTGGACCACTCTGGTCTCTGGTCTCCACTAGTAAAGATTGTTACTAGTGCAGCAAGCTCTTCTTTACTGACAGAATAAATGCACAGATAATGGTGACTACTACACTGAAAGATTTTGTAGCTGAGAATTTGCTCTATCAAACAGTGCTATTGTGTTTTTTGTATCTGTTGTAGCTTCCACTGAAAAAAATAGAAGGCATTGATTTTGGAGTGACCCAGACAACTTTGGGACTTCAGCTTTGCCATGGGAATGCCAGCCACACTTTGGGAAGTTTGCCCAGGTGTTTCATTTCTTATTCTGATGCTGGGCTGTGAAGGTAGCCAAAAACTGTTTTCAGGAAAGTGTACTGAGAAAGGAGAAATGGATCTGCTTAAAGGGGCAGCAGCCCCATGATGGCTCTGCCGCTCTCACGGCCGCCCACTGCCCTGTGTGCCGCTGGAGGGCCACGGGGTCAGCACTCAGTGCTGCTGCCAGGGGACTTCCTCTGCTTCACAAGAGCATGGGATCATCCAAACCAGAACTTTGCAGGGCAAGAAGCTGATTCTGGTGGAATGCAAATCTGGAAGGGGAAATGCTGGCTGAGAAAGGGAACCAAAAATCCACTAAAAAATCCCAGACATCTCAGCATTTCCCACAACATCAGAGCGCTGTGTCTGAGTCCCCAGCATGAATCTCTAGGCCTTGCTTTCTGCCTCTGCTGAAAATTTCTGAGAGTTCTTACTTCCACCTCTGTGTGTGACAGCAGGAAAATTTTGCAGCGGGCATTTTCTGGGTAGGAAAGCCCTGAGCTGCACTTCTCTCTGTAGTGCACTTGATTGGATCGCTGTACTGCTTAAATGTGCTGCTTTCATTCAGCAACCTGAACCAGCTCAGTTGTGTTCCAGCTGGCAAAGTGCTGCCAAGTTGTTCTCTCTCTTCAGAATTCTCCTTTGCTCAAACTTTGCTTGTTTTGCACCCAGGTCATTCGGGATGGTGTGAATCACGTGTAATCCATTCATACCAACCAGCTCCCCCAGCTCCTGTGCTGCATGGCTCATTCACTGCCTTCATTCCCTGGGCAGTTGCCAGCCGTGCTGTGCTGAGGGCAACGCTTAGAGGAAACTCTCATGAAAAGGAGTTTTGCAAACAGGTGCTGGAAAGGGCTCAAGGAAAATTTTGATTGCAACATTTGGGCTTGCAGTGGGGAGAAGCTTGAAGAGATAGGGTATTTCTAAGCAATCTCATGCTGAAGGCTGTGCAGAAACACTGAGCTCTGTGGTGGCTGTGCGAGGTCAGCCCCAAAGGCATGGCACTGGGATGGGCAGTGCCTACAGAGCTGCACAGAGCCATCTCTTGGGCATGGACAGTGATCACCATAGAAATGCTGCCCAAACTGCATTCCTGGAGCACAGCCCAGAGTTTTGCGGCCCAAAAGGAGCATGACAGCTGCCTGGCACCCGTGAGGCCTTTTGGCAAGCCTTGCCCTGAAGGCTGCCAGCCCCAAAGCAGGAGGGCAGCTGCTGCATTTGCCTTTTACCCCCATTTCCAAAAGCTGCAATGCAGCACAAGCTGAGCATTACTGCGCGGCCCAGCCAAATGTCACAGCAACTTGGGAGGACAGACCTCTCTCCCTTTCCATTACTTCTCTTTGCACTCTTGTGATGCCCATCCTGCATCTTTTCTTGCCTCCTTCTCCTTGCTGAATGACAAAACATAGCCCATGCATCCCTTTTGCTCTCCAGACAGGATAGTCCTGCAAGGGATGTGCTAATGTGGTGTTTTTCTGGGGTGAGAAATAGATTTTACAATTCAGACCTTAGGGCGTACCAAAACCAAGCAATCCAAGAGACAGAGGCTGAGCGAAGATGGCTCCATTGCTGCAGTGCTGGGAGAGACCTCATGTGTTTAAAATGTAAAGTCAATTTCTTACCCCAGAAAAACACCCTTTTTAAAAAATTATTTATTTTTATTGTATTTTATTATATTTTATTATATATGTATATTTACATACAAGTTCCTAGTTCTCATTTGAAAGATAAACCAGTCACTTTCTGAGCTCTGAAAGTAATCCGTCCTCTGAGACCTCTGTTGACTCCAAGTTACAGTAATACTGGATAGCTTGGGTATTAGTGCCAAACTGCAAATGAGGTTTGCTCTGCTGGGCCAGCTCTCAAACAGAAATGAGTGTTTCAGGCCCCAAATTGTGTCTGTGGTCTCATAAAAAAGCAGAGCTCTCCCTGTTCACCAGTTTTCTATTTCGTTGCCATTAAGGGAATGATCTCATCCTGCCCTTTGTCCTCTGGTTGTTTTCCTCCCTGATAAAATGTTCGGCGGGCTGAGCGTGGCTCAGATTTGGAGACACTACTCTAACACCCCCAAATCCCCAGTTGATCACCACCAGTTCCTGTACTCACTCACAACCACTTTCCAGCCCTGCTGCATCTCCTTGCAAAACCCAGCTCACATTTAATCATTGTCCCAGCCAGCGATTCCCCAGCCTGGCTCTGCTCTGATAGCAGCCAAACCCAAACCAGCTCTGTTTACCCATGTCCAGGCTGCAATCAAACACCCCAACTGTGTCCCAGTTCCTTCGGTCATTTCCCCAGCACCTTTGTTTCCAGCAAGTCTGTGATGTGAAAATTCACCTTACGCTGTGGGGTAAACCTTTAACGAACAGTGCTGCTGCCTGCCAGGCAGGGATTTCCAGCTGGTCGTGATGCTGGCGTGAGATTCTCTCCTTACCATCCTGCTATAGCGTGGTCCTAACACCAGAGCCATCAGCTGCACTTCCAAGAAATGAATGGAACCAGCAGAAATTGGGCTGGAAAATGAAGTTCAGGCTGCTTCATTTGCAGAAAGTTCAGGGAAGCTGCCTGTGTTGTGCCTCTGTAAATGGGGATATTAGCAGGTCTCGGAGCCAGCCATAGAATAGGTGGCTGCGTGGAGCTTGCAGTGTATCAGGATGCTCTGTGGGCCTTATGAGCAGAGCTGTCTGGCCAGGACTGGCCCGGGTAGAGCCCTGAGCTCTAAAAGAAACAGATGTATGGCCAAAAAGTGTGTGCTGAACAACCAAAGGTGTCCCCATACCTACTGAAATGAGATGATATCTTATTTTTAACGAGAAGGATGCTCCGCTAAGAATTGCAGGGTACTGTGAACGTGCTCCAACATCCCCTGAGACCTTCACCAAAGCCAAAAGCAGAGGCAGCACGTTTGTGAGCACAAAGTAAATTGCACAACATGAGGTACCTGAGTTGAGACTTGTACAGTCATTAAGCCACACCCAAGAGTTTGTTTAAAACACATCAGCCCTGACTACAAAGACTCATCAGTACAAGAAAAAATAAAAATAACAACACACTGTTCTCTTTATTACTGTGTTGAACTTTAACTCCTTGTTGTTGTTCAGGTGGTGGCAGTTTCCAGTGCTGCTGGGCAATGCCAAGAATCTCAGCATGATGGTGTAAAGGAGGCCCAGGAGGGACCGTCCTTGGCCTTGTGCCTGTCACATGTTGTAGGCCAAGGTTACCAATGAGGTGAGTCCCACACATAACAAAGCGGCCATCTACTGACTCCCATGGCTGCTGTTTTGGAGCAAGATTTCATATTTGTCTCCCTGGATACAGAGGGCTGAGTGAGGCCTGGGTCAGCACCACGCAGCCTCGCCCCAAGGGCATCTCTCTGTTGATGAGCAAAACACTGCTTTGCTCCTCGGGCCATCTGACATCCCTTGGGGCAGAATGCAGCTATTTCCGAAGCACCTGCCGTGAAAACCCTTTTGCAATCCTAAGCAGGGCAGGCAATTGGCTCACCCCTCCTGAGCAGAGGAGTCAGCTATTTGCAGCACGAGCCCTTGAAGCAGACAGCTACCCTAGATAGGAGCTCCCTGGTGCAGGGCAAAGTAGATCACAGTAACATGATATGGGATGGGGAACTGATCAGCACAAATGCTGTAACTTTGATTCCAGTGATGGGAATCTGTCTGGATAAGAGGAAACAGCAGGTAGCTGGGAAGAAATCAAAGCCTTCTAGGCAAGAACAAAGTGCTTGGCAAATAGGTTGGCTTTGTAGTGTGGCTCAGCCACACAGAAGGAAGAGGGTATTTTAGTGAAATGTACTCAAACACACAAAAATCTGGCGTTGTGCTGCTACAGAGGGGAACAAGGCAACGTTCAACATGCACATCCCAAATCACACCCCAATTTTTGCCAGGAAGCTGATCATCTTGACTTGGTCAGAGATTTAAAGTCAGAGTTAAAAGCAACAAACAGAATAAGTCTGAAATAACTTTACTGAAAAAATATTCCATTGAAGTCAGTGGCAAAGGCACCCAAGTGTGATACAGTAACACTACAGACAGGCTCCTCACACATCTCCCTGCACAACTGGAGGCTCATTCACTTCAGAACAGCCACTGTCTCCACGCATACAGGTTTCCAGTGCTTTGTGAAGCATCCTGTCACATCAGTGAGCTTCATTACAGTGCAGGGGGCAGAGTGCCTTTGTTTTAATAACATTAGCTATAACTCTCATCTTTTTTTCTAAGAGAGCTACAGAAGGCCTTGCAGGACTGTTGGGAATGCTCTTGGTAACACAAGGCATCATTCCCACCCATCCCCAGCTCATTCAAAACTCTGATTGAAAGCATGTAGCAAAATGCTTTGTCAATTAAAAAATTTCTTTAAGAAAACCAGTATAAAAAAAATCAAAATATTTACCATAAACAATCAAAAAGTGACAGTGCCATTTCCCCTTAATACACAACATTATTATTAGATGACATTATGTTAGAAATTCACACTACAGTACATGACATATTGCTTTTCTCTGAAGCACCCTGCAGCAGAAGCCCCACTCAGTGCCTGGGCAGAGCTTCAAGGCAGACCAGCAGCTCCCATTTTGTTCTGCTGTCTCTGCAACGGCTGTCAAGAATTTGGCCATAGCAGAGTTAGCAGAAGAAGCTGCACAGTGGCAAACTGGATGTTTGTAAAATCAGTGTCACCACTTCCCAGAAGAAGAACAAACATTACAGAACTATTGAATAAAAGGATATTATATATTACATGTTGCTGGTGTCATCAATGAGATGATACATTTTTGGCTGTATTTCTGTGCCAGTTTATTTGCACTTCTTCCAGTGAGTTTTCATCCAATAAGAACATATAGCTGAGCCACAGGAGCAATCAAAACCGCATTGGCTTATCTTGCTTCATCACAAACACTGGAAAACTGACAGACGCAGAGCTGTCAGCCTGCTGTCTGGAAGTAACTGACATCAATTCTTCCTCAATTCAATTTTCAGAAACCGGGAAGGTATTAACACAGAAGAGCTACCTTACCCTCCACTTCTCCAGGAGGAAGGTTCAATGCTCCTGCTGCCTACATCCACAGCTACGTAGAAAAGGAGCAGAATATCCTGGGAATGAAGTTACTGCCATGAATGAAACTCACTCTGTTTGGTGACGTAACCTTTCCAAATAACTCAGCAAAAACTTAGTAAAACTTTGCATAATCCTGGAGAATGGCAAGAGTGGGCTTCTCATTTAAGGATGTACATATTAAATTCTCTGAAAATGGCAGTAACCCATTCAGACATTGTTAGCATAGGTGGCCTTTTTTGTTATGGAGGATTTTTGTTTGCTTTCCTTAAGAGAGAGTTGGCAGCAGCCAGAGCCCCACCCTGCACAAAGCGTACAAAGTTATCTCCAGCTAGAGGCCCTAGAGCATAAAGCCCTTTCTCCTGAGTACATTCATAAGTGAACGGGTCAATATCTATGGGATTCCTCTTGGGATTGACTGGTTGGTCGCTGTCCATTGCCAAGTCAATTCCATTATTTGGCAGAAAGGAGAGGCTGGGATTTGAACCGGTTAGAACAAGAGCCATGGAAATTTTATAAGCTTTCTGGCAGCCATTCTTGTCTTGAAGGATACACTTCTTGTCCTTGCCAAAAGATAGTACGTTGTGCTCAGGTAGGCTAACATAGCACTCATAGGGCCCCGCACAAGCAGCTGACTGTTCTTTCATCATCTGATGGACCTTGTGGTATTCGGGGTACATCATTTTGGGTAGCTGGTTAAAAATAAGACCTGGATCACTGACTCTTCTCCGAAAAACATGAATTACTGGAATACTACAGTGGTGAGCAAAAAGAATCGCATCAGCAGCTGTCAAACCAGCACCTACAATCAAAACTGGATCTGATGTGATACCAATACTGTTGTTTTTCACTGCTTCCTCTAGAGCAGAGAGCTGGTGATGGACATAGGAAAGGTTCTCTCCTTTGACCTTGAGCCAAGTGGGACTATCATACGTTCCTGTAGCTAAGACTACGTTCTCTGCATAGACAGTGAAGGGCTCCTTGTCACCTGTGACAGTTTTGACAAATCCATCCACCTGAAAGACCTCCATATTCTCCTCACTGAAGTTCCAGAGAGAGTCAGTCTTCTGTAGATCTTCTTGTGCATGGCTGGAGATGCTCTTTGCACTCATTTTCCTCACAGAGGTTACAACAGTCCCACATCTAAAGTTCTTCTGCAGCCCTTTCTTCGTCACATAATGTTGGTAGTATTGAGCAATGTCTTCTGCTGTAGCTCTATGGTTTCTGAGGCCCCTGCAATGTATTACAAAGGTCAAGCAGCAGTTAAGTAAGAGCCTGGAATTTCTCACTTCTTCCACTGAATGTATCCTAGAGCCATCTAATCTGTTACTACCACAAGAGGCTTATCTATTTTCCCTGACTTCAGCTAAGTTATTCCCAATATATAGAGCTAGTAATCAGATTTGGAGGTTGTTGGGCAAAGGAAAATTTTTAATACAAATCTCAGCCCTAAGAACATGGTTACTCGTTCACGCTTTTCTTTCATACATCTCACTGCTATCCCACTTTCAATTACTATACTCTAAGGCTTCAACTGTTACAGAGTAGAAGCATCTGAGATGCTGTGGAGTAGCTCAGATCATTATATTCATCATTAGGCTCAGTAGCAATAGCCATAGAAGTCAAACAGATCAGAAGAACTTGTACTCTGAATATTGCCCCATTGAGTATTTAGAAGGACATATTGCAACCAGCACTCCAGCTTCAACTGGAATCACTTAATGCAGGATGGACTTTTGATGCGGACAGTGACCTTTCTCTCAGAAGAATTATCCATTACAGACAGGTAGCTGCATTCAAGAAATCCAGTCCACTTCAGGTTCCCAAATAGCCTCTGGATGCTTGCAAAAAATCAGACCACAGGTATCTCACCTTTTCTTTTGCTTTAGCCAGTCTTTGAACTGGAGATCTGGAAGTCCCATCCATTCCCCTCTGCTCAGGGTAATCATTGAGCCCTCAATAGACTGGAACAAGAAACAGTTAAAGAGCTTTCAGTTATTTAATGTAAGAAGTGAAATGTAACTCAAGTTTCAGTATATCTCACAACATGAGAAGCCAATGATTTCATCTGATGCATTGGCATGGATGAAACCATCCATTTTCTCCAAAAATAGCAATTAACTGGAAATATAAATGCCAGTCCTGTTCACCCCTTTTAAAGCTCTTTCACCTCTTCATACATGCAAAATCAAGCATGGGTGAGCAGCATATTGGAGCACCTTTAACGCTCCAGTCAATGCATTTAGTTATTTTATAACGTACAGATCTAAGCAGTTAGGCTTTGGTTCACATACATGCCAGGCACCTCCTGGAGGGTTCTTGCCAAGAACCAGGTGGGGGATGGCTCTGTCAGTCTCGTGCCTCCAAGTGAGCACAGATTCTGCACTCACACCAAAGTCCGTATCAGGTCGCAGAAGGGTATCAAACAGAAGAGCCACAGGGCTATTGGATCTTCCCTCTAAACCTTCAGACAGATACTCCAAATCCTAAAAAGAGATAGATCAGATGCTCAGAATGTGTGTCCTGCCAGGCAGCAAGCTGTTTACAGCGGCTCTACTTCCAGGCAGCATTTTTGGAGTTTTGTGAAGTTCATTTAATTGTACACAGCCCCTGTTACTGTCTGAGAACTTTCTTGAGGATTTTAGCAGTGCTGGCACTTCACACGAGGGAAATTTGGACAACTAGAATGCTTTGCTTAAGACTCATTCTGTCTGAGTGCTTTCTACACACTCTGAAAATTCAGATGAATTCATCACTTACAATAAACCCCCCAGAGCGCTTCATAATGTTGATAAACAGTTTCTGCTAAGAAAGCAATTTGTCTTTACACAAACCTGGTCCAAAATGGACACATCCGCTGCCTCCTCTAGTTTACTCTGAAGAATGGGATGAGGATGAAGAGAGTGTCTTTTGAAGTAAGGGGTGTAGCCCGACAGCAAATATGAGAGACAGATTCCAGAAGGTCCGTTCCCTGAAGAGACACAGTGGAGATTTTTTTACTCCTGCAGACAGTACAGCCCTTTAAGAAATGCTTTAAGTATCCTGACCAAAGGTTAAGATACACACTTTTGACACAGGAAAGACTTTGTATTTTCAAGCTACCAATAACCTATCGGACATAGCTGGGGAAGTCTGCCCTCATGTACCCCCTTCTGCTCCCCAGCACCATCTGAAGCTTGAAGTCTCTGGCCTGCTGACAAACTCAGTCACTCCTCATCAGCTTTAAAGATCTGGAAACTGGTCACTTACTGGAATCAGCCCCAGTCTGTACTGCAGGCAGTCTGTTAAGGAAAAAAGTCTGCCATGCCAAGAGTGCCTCAGAATACAGCACTTCTGACTGATTGCTGGATAGCTGACCTCCTCCTGCAGACAGTGGAAAGACTGCAACTGCAGAGCCCAGCAAGAGCAGCCTGTGGAAACTTTTCACATGGCCATTCTCCAGAATGTTTAATATTTCACAGTGCCTGCATGATGAGCTGTCAGCCTCTCTGGCTCATAGCTGCTCACTACGAAGTGACTAACCAGCATTACATAATGCACTGATGATGGAGGGGAGGGGAGCTGAAGTGACACAGCAGCCTGCAGCAGGTCATGTTGACACAGTGCCCGTTGCTGTGCATGTGAACCACTTGAGCAAAGGCCACTTCTCCAGGCACCAGAGATGGGGAGGCTCAGGCTAACAGAGACCTGAGCTGTGCAAAGAGCTATGCCTGCCACAACTGGGGCCAAAGTCTGCTACAAGTCAATGTTTGGAATATTCCACTCCCAGGAAAGTTATCCAGAAATTAAAAGCAAACTAAATTGCAGCTTTCATGGAACATTACACATTTCAGCTTGGTCCTTTGCTTTAGGAGGTCCCTGAGACAAATTTAAGCACTCAAGTGCACAACACTTGAGTATGCATGTGTAGAATTTACTCTCCGAACCATAGCTAAGTTGGATATAGATGGTCATAAGCACAGCTTGGGGTCCAGTGCCTGTGCTGGAGCACAGCTCATGGTATCTCTCACCACCTATGCTTGCTCACCTTGCACTACACACCTTCACTCTCACAAGGGGTGCAACACAGTTACTACATAGCCTGTTTTTAAAAACTGATGACAAACAGCAGCTTGTTACCATTCTGTTCAATTTTGTATAAAATCAGTATACATCCCAAGAGATTCATCATGATTAAAAAAAAAATCTTAAAAAAAACCCAAAACTTTAACAGCATTTGTAACACTTCCTAAACAAATAATGGGAAACAAAAAGAAAATATGCATATATACAAACCACCCACTCAACCCCTAAATCAAGCACTACTAATCAACTTTCTGTGAAGTAATTACCTAACAGTGGGTCAGGTAGAGCAGGGTTCCAAACCCTTCTAAACACCTAACAAATAGAACAGCACGCCCAAATAAACACAAGTCCAAAAGTTTATCAAATTTGTTCCAAGAAAATAATGATAAAGAAGTGCTACTGAATACCTGGTTCCCTACTTCTTACCACTCAGATTTGGTTCTGCAGGAAGCTCGGCTGTCGGAGAAGAGCGCCAGAAATGACGGCCAGTTATTTCTGGTTTGAGTACCATTCTATGGAACAAAAGCTGAAGACAACAAGTCCAAAGCAGTAATGCGCTGGAGAACATAAGATAAAGCTTACCTATGATCAGCACAGGAATTGGCTTGGATCCACTCTTGTTTTGGTGCCTGCCCAATGCTGAATACATCTCCCTGTCTGGAAGCATTCAGGCCCAGGAGCCAACCTGTTGAAACAGAACAGTTCTGAAACATTTCTGCTTGACGAAAAACTGTGACTGTCTCTAGACCGCAGCAGAGAGCTGATCCAAAGTGTTATCCTTCCACTGCACATCATCACACTATGCTTCCACCCTCAGGACAGGACTACTTATCTTCTCCCCTTCTTAGAAAGGAAAGGACGATTCCTAGATTATATCATAGAGAAAGGAGAGGACTCTTATCTCTCTCTCCCACATGGCCTTCAGTTCCTTCAGGACAGCTGGCGATGTCAGTAATGCTCTGAGTGCAGTACCTGACATGTTGCAGCATGTCAATGAAAACTTCAGTTCTGCCTCTCCTACGTGGAAAAGGACTATTATCATGATCCTCATTCATCACCAGTACTTTTCACTTCTTACAGTTGCACATGCATTTACTAGGAAGTCCCCTGGCTGCAGTTTCAAACATGAGCTGCTCCATTGAGAGAGAACTCTTTGAGAAGTGCTAACTTGGTTCCTGAACCTGTGGATGCCCTCTTAATTCATTTTCCAGAAAAGAGTTTCAAGTTTGAGAAAGTTGAGAAGTTTGAACAAAATATGCAGCAATATTATCTTGGAGGCTACGTTGTCATGAGAGTGGAATGTGCAAAACATCTGATTTTGTTATGAAAATACTCACTGGATAGGGAATCAAAGGTTTGTTTTCATACCTTTTTTTTTTTTTTTTTTTTTTTTGCCATTTCCGCAGGGATCCCATGATGTTAAATAACCACTTTTAGACTACACTGTGTCTACTCTATCTACTCCAGGAAAGACAGAAGTTACTTTTACTACAGTAAAATAGAGACTTTCAAAGTTCAGCAAAAGCTTTTGTGTTATCCTCCAGAGGGTAGCCTTTAAAAATGTTACTCTCATTTGGAAAGTTAGGACAAAACCCACTGAATGGCAGGAATCTGTTCAGCAGGGCATGCTCTCCACACCCCTTCCAAGCACAGCAAGATTTCTGGCGAGTGCACTGCATGCTCCCATAAGGTCTGGTACATCACTGCCTTTGACATAAGCACTGCAGCAGATGCCATCCTACAAACGCCATGCTCCCCTTTAAGCCCGAGATTTACGTCACCAGCAACTACTTGAATGCAGTAAGGCCCCAGTGACTGAATGAGCAGCCAGAAAGCCACTGCTAAGTTTAGGATTTGAAGAATCCCAAGCTTCAGGAGAAGACTTGGGTGCATTCACCTGCAAGGATGTGACAGTTTGGCAAGCAGCAGGACATGACCATCCCTGGGCTGGAGCGAGAGCTATTCCAAGAGGATTGGCTTCATCCAAGTATAGAGAAGAATGTAGAACTAGCAGCTTTGTTCAAAGTTTAGCATCACAGTTTAATAACACCTACTTACTGCTTACTACCACCTCACTATTAATTTAAGACATTCTTATGCATTTTGTCTGAACAACATAAAAGACATAATAGCCATGCCTTCAAGTAATTTCTAGCTTTAAAGAGAGTTGGAAACTCCAGTTCTCAGCTTAGCTGTGACCCATAGGTAGATGTATATACTACAGAAGATGAATTTCTCCATATGTTGCATCCGTGTGGGGTATGCATCCATCCCTTTAGGCACACTCCTGTACCAGGAGCACACCTAACTGGCCCAGCATTTTCCCAACCTTTTGGGTAAGGCTTGTCACATGAACCAAAACCTGTGAATATATTGCCAGATAATTCTCTACCACAAAGCTCCAAAGTCAAAACTAGGAGAAGCCAGCACCCATGATGATCTGAGGCATCAAAGGGGAAATACAGTGTTGCAACCACTAAGTAAGATGCTCACTTAAATCAGTCTAAATCACAGCACTTATCTGGCAGAGGTTTGTTTCTTCTCCATGGTAAGAAATAATTACCTCTCTGTGGCTGCACTGAATAAGATAAGTTCTTATTTTTTCCTAGCATCTTTCCTCTCTGTGAAACTACTGGGAATCTGAAAGTGGGAAGCAAGACCTCTGGAAGGCTTCTGCTCCTCAGCAGTCTGCAGCAGCACACATGGGGAGACTGCGTGCACTCTGCACCCAGTGGTAATCCAGCAACATCTGTGAGATATTTGCTGGAAGCAAGGCTGCTGAACCAACCCAGCTCAGTACACAGCAATGGTGCCAGCAGGAGCTGGAAGGAGCCCGATAGCTTGTCATGCCTGTCTACGCCAGAGCTTTTCTGGGAGAGCCTGAACAGGACAAAAAAGGCACGGGACGTCAGTCTGGCAGCCTTGTTTGCTGTAGGGGAAAGTTGCTTGGCTCCCAGCCACTGCTCCGTGCCACTCTACCGCACCCCAACTGCAGCACAAAGCCAGCAGCCTCGGGCTTGGTGATTACTCCTCACGTCACCCTCCTCTTCTGTTCCCTATCTTTTGGGCACATGAAAAAGGAGCATTTGCTGGAATCAAACTAAGCCTTAATGGCTAAACGAGCACAATTATTATTCTGATGAAATTCCTAGATCAATCCACATGCATGACCATTTGTAGCCATAGTTTTATTCAAGATGTGAATCTTGTTAGGGTTCACAAAACCCTATTATGACCATTGTAGTGTGACATCTTCTGTTGCCTGAAGTTTTTATGCTGGACAATTCTAGCAGCACAAAATTAACTATCAGATTTGCTTCTGTTTATCCTACCATTTAGAAATGTCTCATCCACATCCTAAAGCTACCATTTCCATAATTTATAGTTAATAAGTCTCCTGCTTAATGCAAAATGCTGAACCTATTGACACCTACTCTCATTCTATAGGCTACATGGTTGACTTTGGGGGCAAAACTGTCCAGAGTATCAAAGGTATTTTTTGTTCAGTGTTACTTGTAATGGCATGGAAAGTTAAACGTGTTTCTTTTTTTTTTTTTAATTATTTCATGCACAATTTCATAGCTGGGAGACTGCATATACTCCTCATCAGTGCAACAGATGAAAAGCTGTTCTTGCAGAGACTATTGGAAAGCACACTGAAGTTCACGTGAACTCTATAAAGCTAGTTAACTGAATGCAAGCTTGAGCTGCACGGGAGACCCAAGCTTCAAACATTCAGTCAGTTTACTGACACCCATCACTACTCAGGCTCCTGCTGCAGGCTTCCTACTTTAAATGAGTGTTTTTCCTCCTCTCCATTTGGGAGAATGCTGCAAGCTCCACAATTCATCTCCTTGCTGCTTCCAACACATTCCAGCGTTGATGTGATGTTACATAATTGCTCAGTCTTGGGAAAACTTCCAGCTCATCCTGGACCAAACTCTGCATACCTTCCTGACACAGACTTGAGCCTATAGGGACTAGAACTCTGAGTGGAGCCCCTGGTAGCTCCAGGGCAGCTCTCAGGCTGTACAACTGAAACAGATGTTAAGTGAGCAAAAGAAAAAGCAAAGGCAATAGAACTAAGTCCTCTGTAGCAGAAATAAAAGGTCAAGTTAAATCAGTCAGCTGCAAGCAATTCTCCTTATAGCATCCGTGGGACTTTTGCTCAAGTAAGAACCACAAAGCATGGCCTGTACAACACAGAGAAAGCTTAAAAGAACAGTGTCATTAGTATATGGAAGCAATAGAAGAGACTAGCACTGCTGCTGTGATACTCAGGTTGAAACAAGAATGCTATCAAAGAAATACAATTTCCTTTACCTTGATTTCTTCATCAACTCATCCATTTCATCAATAGCTATTTAAGTTCTTCAGTGCTTTTAAGAAACAGAAATCCCAATGCTTTTTGCATTTTGTACTTTCCTGGTAACTTTTAAGTTTTACACTTTCCCACAACTTTCAGGAGTCCTTTCCCCCACTTGCACTCTCACTCTTGCACAGAAGGCTAGTTAGCTCACAAACACAATGGAAGCCCTTGGAAAGAATCAAACTTATAGCACAGAAAAATAGCACGTTTTCCTAGAAACATCCCTGCGACAGTCAGAAAGCACCAGTACAACAGGCAGGGCACTTACAGCCTTCTTACCTTTACCTGCAGGTCTAGTGAGAAGCAAGCTCTAGATGGAAATGCCCGTAGAGCTAGAAAGCTAACCAAAGTACAAGCCTTAACACTGCCTCTGCTCTACGACAGCCGTTTAAATATAGTAGGCTACCGGCACTAAATGAGAGGTGGAGCTGCAATGAATGGAGGAGGAGCAAGGAAAATACTTATAAGCATGAGTCAGCAGGAATATTGCCCTTCCCAGCTTGTGAATGAATGGTTCTGAGTAACTTTCCTTTCTTTAGTGATGTTCAGCTGACTATGACTTCAGCAAAGGCAGGTTTATAGGACCCATGTATGGCAGAAGAAGAAATCTGCTCATTTTTAGCCTTTAGGACAAATTAAAATCTGACATTTTAATACAATGTAATGCTTCTTGTGGCAGAACTAGATTTTTCCTCTGTATCAAAAAGAGCATTAAAAAAAAAAAAAAAAAGGCTAACTGTAGGAATTAGTTATAGGATACCATTGTATGCTTTAGAACTGCTGATCTTTTTGGCCACAAATGGCAAGGGAACTTTTGATGATTTTCTACCTACTTTGGGCAGTATTTGTGGTTTCAGTTTCATCTTCCGTTAAGAAGCAGTTCATACACATGGAGACAACGTGTACGAGAACTGCTGAGTGCACTGCCAGACAGGATCCTGCTATGTGTGGGAAGTGTGAAGTCACCCAGAGCCACCAATATCAACTTACATGCATCAAGTTCAAGAGGAGTAAATGACACAGTATTCAAATGCCTTGCTCTATTTCTTCTACTTTCCCCATTTTTCTCTAGTATTTAATATTATAATAATGTTACAATACACTTCCTCTGTCAGACAGTTCCTAAGTAGCAGCCTGTAAGATTTTGGTGGAAGTATTCTGTATTCAACCAAGGTATTTTCATTAGCATCTCAGGGAAACCAGATACTATCAGTTTCCAACAGGGCGGTTGGTCTTATTTTTTTGTTCTGAATTCCATGAAGGAAGAAAGCTGCTGACAGGGCCGCTGCTCATCAGTGGCTCTTAAATCAGGAGTC